GCAATTACAATTTAGTACTGGAGTAAAAGGGGAAAAAAAGCCGCACAAATAACTCCTGAAATATTTTGGCTGAAACTCTCAAATGCTGAGGATTTGCCTGACCTCTTATACTTAGGAGCACCTTCGATACAGGTTCTAGGTATTGCTTTTGCCTGCTTTAGCCATGTCAGAGTCTTTACCGAGTATGCTCTGCTTCAGAGTCTGTAATTGCCAATTTAGAGTCTCATTTGTCTTTGAAATAGTTCAGCATCTCTGCCTTGGCTTCATCTCAGAAAAGAAGGCAATTTCCTTTAGTAAACATGGCTGTCCCGAATACCTTCGGTGTTGTTTTCATCCTAGCTGGCAGCAAAAGAGTCACATTTTGTGCTCGTTTAAAGTCTTTCCTCATGGTTGTTTTGTTCACCCATTCAGGAAAAAGATTATTGGTTACCATGGCAATCAGCTTCCACAGCTTTCCATGTGAAGTAACTGCACAGGTGGAGCACATTACTCCACATTCTTTACTGTAGTTTTATGAAGATGTGAATGTTTTTCTAGACTGTTTACTTCTGCTTAAAGTACTCACCCAACCAACTAATCAAACAACCCAGAGTTAAAGCAGTTCATTGTTTCAATAGCCCTCTGTCCCTGGAATACTTTTAAAATTTAATATAGAGTTATATCACAGTTTTCTCTAGTTTTATTCTATCCAGGCCCTCATTAGTGCATAACTGAAAACTTTCTGATCTCTCCTCTCACAAATCTAGTATTATTTATATCTTTTTAACCACATGGAAAATGACCAATGATTTTACAATAAAATTCAGAGCAGAAGAGAGACCTATGAGATCATTTCCCATGTTTTGTGTCATAGTTTTCGTATATATAATTCTCCACTTCTTTCTCTCCATCACTCTGATTTTCTCTTTAAAAATGCAGATGCTTTGAAAGAGTAAAGATTGTCCTTACTGACTTGGAGATACCAAACACTTGTGTCCTTCCCTTGAGATTGCTGTTTCTTTTCTTTTTTTAAAAAATTGATTCAGACTTCCTTGAAGAGATTGTTTACCATTTCCTATTGAAAATATTACTACTAATAATAAAAGATGGTTTTATACAGGACAAGCACAATTTAATGGTATCCTGGCTCTGCCAAATTGTGGAGAATGGAGAATGATTTTGGACAGTCCAGTGGATAAATTTTGTTTCCCTACCACTCTTTCATTTTCCCCTCATTTTTACATTCATTCTTTGCTGGTTTAGTTTCTCCATAGTTATGTGACATCAACTAGGAATCTTGAGAATTTTTATTGTATGGAAAGGTATCTTTTTACCTATTATTCATATTTCTGAATATATTTGAAGTGATAGTGGTATTTGGTAATCAAGAAGAGAGAGCTTGAAAAAAGGAGCTCCTATTATCTGAGTCAATTAAAAATAAAATCTGGCTCAAACTCTGTTTCCTGCAATTTTTTCCTGATGAATGCCTTTTCATTGAAAAAGACATACCTTGCAACCAATCTATGAACAACCATTGAATGCCACTTCCTATTAAGGGCATGGAAGTAAACTTGGTAACTAAAACAGATGCCTTCGCCTACAGATTCTAAAATCAGAGGGTATTCATAAACCGGCCCACAAATTGTCAGTGTGTAGTAGGAAACAGGAACTGTTAAAAATCTGAAATACTGCTAAAGTACTTTCTCCCTTTTCCGGTAAAAGAAAATACATTACTTTCTAGGAAGTTCACTACTTTAAAAAACATTCAAAGGAACTAGGGTTGGGAAATCATGACTAGAATTTGGGTTGTATCAGCTCATTTTATGAATAAAGATATTTATTTATAGATGGAAAGTCCTAGAATGGTTCCCTGACTCCTCTCCAAATGGTAGTGGAATTGCTTAAAGGGCAGGGAAAAAGCATTTATTTATTTATTTTCTGCAAAGATACTACACGTTACATAAAGTGTTTCCAAGTTTTACCTATATCCTTGGAAATAAGGACATATATGCACTTTTTGATATGCTAATACCACACAAGCTAGAAAAAAACTGGTCAATTCTAAGTAGATTTTTTTAAAAGGCTTATGTAATCACATAAACTTTGGGTAATTGTGTCAGAGTACATTATTAGATTTATGCAGAAAATAGTTGCTCTTGATTTTCAGTTAACAAAAGATAGCTGAGAAGAAAACATGGTGTCACTGAAGAGTAGAAACTCTAATGAAGGTCAGCATTCTAAAGGTACAGAGGCAGCTGACAAGCTGTTTTGACAACTGGGTGAAGACTGGAAGAAAGTCTGTAAAGGAAAAGAAGTTGGGATGAAAGGGTACAATGAAGTGTTTGAAAATGGTAAAGTGAGAGCCTTTTTTTTGGCGGGGGAGACCAGGGATTGAACTTGGGACTTTGCACTTGCTAGGAAGGCTGCGGAACCACTGAGCTAAATCCCGGGCTTAAAGTGAGAGCTTTAATGAGAGGGATAACTGGAAAGAGAAAATTATTGTTTAGTTAGAGAAATTTTGACACAATTTGTATTTTAATTTGCAGGAGACCAGTAATGACATTATTTGAAGAATGCCAGTTTTATTGCTTTAATATATTATACATAAAAAGCTTCATTTGTCTGAAATAGAAAATAGTGCAAGTTTCTATTGTATGGCAATAATATGTATTAGACAAATTAGCAAGCAGAGATTTGCTTTTTATTAGACTTCATTACAACCTTTAAAAAAAAACTCACCACTTTAAATATGTCAAGCTTTACATGAGGTCATGATTGAAAAAAGTGACATGATTAGACTGCCTGAACAGGTTGCACATTGGTCTTAACTTTGTTTTACTGGTATCCTTTAATCTTGGGCTCCTAACTTGAGCAAGAAAATGTAGATGCAGAAAATTGCAAAAAAAAAAAATGTACCTTAATTAGGAGTCATGTGTTAACATTAAAAACATTCTTTAAAAGCCACATATAGATTTTTAACTTCTTTCATTTGAACTGCATGGATGTTGATTTTGTTAGTCTTATAGCAATGACTTCATAGAATGGTAATCCTATGTTGCAGTTTTCCAGGTGGCTTCAGATTTCAAATATCTTGCTTAATGTTAAATGTTGTATCTAGATTTTGTTTTGTAAAACATGGACACTGAATTTTTAGACTAATCCTGAAACAGTAATGGCCTTTGGCAGTGTGTCATAATTTTATTTCTGTGCCATGATTATTGTTCAATAAAACTTCATATTTGATCATACTTAGTAATAAACTGTCTTTAAACAATGAGGCCATTTAAAATTTTTATAGTAATTTACAATTTGAAAAACACTCATAATTTTTTATGGACACAAATACACATATTGCTGCAAACGTATAGATTGCTACTCATCCTTCCATATAGAAATTTTTAAAAACTTGATCCTGTACTTACATAGTGAAAACTATTAAAGACAAAAATAATCCAAAGGTGAGTCAATAAGGATTTGGGGGATCTTCCTTAATTTCCAGACTGGAATACGTATTCCTGATAAACCAAAAATGAGTGTTCATTGGCATTTGCTATGTATATGTTCATAATTATCTGAATGAACTGTTTCATTTGTTATCCTATGCCAGACCACTGCTATTATAAAAATAAAAACATTTTATAGATCACTCACTGGCCTTCTTCCCCTTTAGTTACAATCTTTCATAGCATTGTTTGTTCATGGCTCCACTCTACTAGTCTGTCGTTTAGATAACTACTGAGAAAGGAACGCTTGAAAGTCAACTGCGGCCGCGATGGTCCTTAGGACCTCAGATTTTGTGATTTTCCCCAAGTCGCTGGAAGTGTTTCTACATTGGTGATCAAGCTAGACCTCCTACACCTCCCAGCCGGTTGGGGTTTGTGAAGCCCGGGGATGCTACTGCAAAAGAGGTGGTTGTTGCTATGAATGATTCACTCGCGTTTGGCACATTTGCTGCAAGGAACTCGGCACCTCCCGCCCCTTCCACCTTCGAATCTTCTCAGGCTGTCTCCTGCGCTTTGGCCTTTAAGGAGGAGAGCCAGCAGGGGGGAACAGACAGGCTCGCCCCATCCTTCTCCCCCTGCGCCTTCCCTAATTTAGCAGTACTTCCGGCCGCGTGACATCATCCCCCGCACCCGGTGACGTGAGCGACGGGTGACGTGCTTGCGGAGAGAGCGCGCTGACGTTGCTATTTAAAGGTCCTCCTGCGGGGAGGATGGAGACACAGCGCGGGCGGCCGGCGCGGATCGCGGAGGGAACTGCGGTGCCAGAGAGCGGGGATCAGAGCCAGCACGGCATCGGCGTGCGCGGTTCCCCAGTAGCCGACTGCTAGGGGAGAGGGCGGACGGACGGACGGATGAACGGACTGATTGACCAGCCGGTCGGTC